TTTTTTTCTGTTGGAAGACCATCAAAATGGAGGATGGATCAACATAGATACTTTGTAATACTGTCAGAAAATATCTCTGGGTCTGCTCCTGTTATTGACCATGTTACCTGTTGTGCAAGATTAAAATTCAGTGTTGACTGACAGTGCTATTATAGGCATTATTTATTATTGCATCAAAATTGACAAAATGACCTTTTTTGCATCTTTATTTTCTGTTTTTTGTCTGTACATTTGACAGCTTTTCTGCCTTGTTTTAGTCTTTGAGTTTATCTCATAATTGAAATAGAGGTGGTTGAATTAACTATAGACGGCCAAAATTAGAAATTAAGAAACAAAAACATATTTAGATTGTAATATATTTTCTCAACTGTTTTAGATGGTTATGCCTTGTGGACAAAATTAAAAGTTCTGGATTTTCTGGAAAATTATTAATTTTTTTTTTTTCTGAAAATGTCAACAAAAATTGTCTGACGTACTCAAAAATAAACACTATGAATGGCAGAAAAAAATTGATAGCTTTTTAAGATTAAAACATTGTCATAAGGCATAGTTTATAAGCTGTAGGAACAGCTGTCATCAAAGCCATCAGCAGGCACTGCTTGATAAAAAAGTTGTCCAAAGCCAGTGTTTATTAATAGTGACTTGTAGAACAAAAGCAATTACTCAGATGAGAAATTTTACTTTTATACATAATTTATTATTGTTTATATACATAAAATGATTTTACTATTACTAACTGTACAATGGATAAAGTAAGCAATTTTTAAATATTCATTTCTGAATAAAACCAAAGATAATCATAAAGGAAAAATGGTTAGATAAAAATACTTGACTGTTGTACATGTATGATGGTTATATTCAGCATTACAAGAACGATGCAGATGGGCTGTGTACCAAGCTACGGAAGTCTGTTCCTAAAACCAAAGGTGGTATGGAGTACACAGTGGACAAAAGGCAGTTTATGGATGCAGGGTGGTCTATTAAAGAGAAAGATCTGATCAAGGGGGAAACCATTGGAAGAGGAGAATTTGGAGGTAAGAGCTTCAGTTACCAGTTTTGTTATGTAACATGTTACTGTTACAGTAGATTGAATTAACTGGCTTAATTTGACTTGTATTTCATTTGTTACAAAAAAGTAAAACATACATTTAAGTCGCCACTTTGTTAATTTGATCTTTACACATTTAGGTAATGAAGATTTGATGTGTAAAACTTCACAGTTACTTGATATGTTTCGTGATTTCTATTTTCAATGGGGTCCCATTTCAATACTTTCTGAAGAGAGCACTAAGTAATTGATGTTTGCCATTTGATGGATATTTTTTTGTTTGGAAGACAAATCGGTGTGACAACAGACAAAAGATGTACATATCCTTTGAAATATGAGGATTTAGTGCATGCGTCATACTACTGCTCTTGCACCAGTGCTGCTTATAATTTTTTTCTGAAATGCTCATATTTTGATTTCAGATGTAAGAAAGGGGGAGTTTAAAGGAGTACCAGTAGCCATAAAATATCTGAAAGATACAGATAATGCAGCTCAGCAATTCTTAGCAGAGGCTTCTCTTATGACGTAAGTAAGAGGTGTTTGGAATATTATTTACACAAATTTTTTTTGCCTTCAGTATTTCAGAGTCAAGGTTGAATGCAGGTGCTGGAATTTTTTCTTTTCAGACATATCTATGTGCAGGAGATACAACTGGTAATCAATATACACAAGATTAAGAAAAAAAATCTTATTGTATTTAAAATGCATTTTTTATTTTATGTTTTGATCAGAGAAAACTAAAATGCCACCTGTCAAGCATTATATAAACCATTTTTGTTGTGATGTTGTTAATGATATTTTTATCTTCAAAAATTAAGACTGGCAAAATTTTAGGGGTCTGCTTAACACAATGTCTATTTCACATGGCATCACATCTAACACAAACTTCCAGTGAACCACTCAGTTGCAATCTTAAAATCATGTGTAGAATCAGAATATTGGTATTTTGCATATTCCAGATCCTTGAAACATCGTAATCTTGTCCAGCTTATAGGGGTGGTATTAGGCCAGGAAATATACATTGTAACAGAATTCATGGCCAAAGGAAACTTAGTGGACTATCTCAGAACGAGGGGAAGGAGTGTCATCACAAAAAGAGATTTGTTGAATTTTGCCAGGTATTATTTATCAGAGGTGTTCACACAAATTTCAAACCATTATTTTGAATGCTAATCTAGTTGTATTTACCTTTTTTTATTTCGAGTATTTTTAATTTTTTTTCTGTGTTTGAATGATAACATTTTGTTGTTGGTTTGTTTATGCTTAATAAACAATATGATATATCAATGAATATATTGTACTGTACAAACCACAAAGATAATTATTGTTATGAAAAGATAACAAGCTCTGTGACTGATTGCTGATTATACTACAAGAGTATGTCATGTTTAGAACAGAATTTCACTTATGTGAACACAAATAATAAAGCACTAAGGCTCATACTTGAAGAGAGAGCAATCATTTAGTCTGAACAGAATTTGAAAAAAAAATATATATATATTGAAAAAATACTTGTATAGGTCTTTACAGAAAAGTATTGAAAGTGCAACCAAAAGCTGTTTGAATAAAAATATTTAGTGCCAGTAAAATATCCCAAGTAATTTATAATATTAAATGAATTATTGCTTTTTTAGTGATACTTGTGAAGGAATGGCATACTTAGAAACCAAAAGTTTAGTACACAGAGACCTGGCAGCCAGAAATGTTTTAATATCAGAAGATGGAGTGGCTAAGGTGGGCATATGAAGACCAGATTCTTGATTTACATGAAAGTAGATTTATTATCAGTATGCTTTGGCTTGTGCTAGCATGATGATAGCTAAACTGATATCTGACATATTCTTGTCTGGCTCAAGTATTGTCAAATATTTTACAATTATTTCTGCCAAATTTTATTTTCATTTGGTTCAACATTTTGATGTGGCTGAATTATCCAGTCTTTGGGCAGAAAGATATACTATAATGAATTAATTCAATATTACTACATCATAGTATGATTATATGATCATAAATTTTTACGGGCTCTTTATGAAAGTTTTTTTTAGATGGATCTTGAATAAAAACAAGCAAACTATTATATTATTATCAAGCAGTCTTGTTATATTACATGTTGTTTTTTATCAGGTGTCTGATTTTGGACTTGCTAGAAGAGCAGATTCTAACCAAGCAGGAGGAAAGTTCCCAATTAAATGGACAGCACCAGAAGCTTTAAGAGAGAATGTAAGTATAACTTATTATTCAGCGTGAAGTAAAAAAACTGAAAAACTAAACACTTTCAACAGTTTTTTGCCACAAAATGTCCAATAGGTTATGAATTTTTAAAGAATTGATACTGTAACAGTTTTTCAGGCCGTGATTGATACTTGGAATAATGTTACATTTCAGAAATTTACCAACAAATCTGATATGTGGAGTTTTGGAATCCTAATATGGGAGATTTATTCCTTTGGAAGGGTGCCATACCCAAGAATAGTAAGTAGTTCTAAAACTGGAACTTAAATTTGGATTTAGAGTTTAAAATCTATTCAAATGGTGAAAATGCAAAATCAGATTTTCTGTAAAAACAGGTTTTCTTGAAATAAGACATAAAAAAACGAAGATCTACAAAAAAATAAACTCCAAGTCTGTTAATTCCCCCTTTAAGTAAACATGTATTCCTAAGATTAAAAAAACTAAGATGTACAAAAAATAACAAATAAATGATATTTTTACTGTACCTGCCCAGTGTTTGGCTTTTTTAACTGTGTGCGTACAGGTGTGTATGTATTTGTGCATGAAATATGTCTACCATAATGGGTGTTTGAAGTAACTTATACTAGTTTTTTCATAAGCTGCTATAATCTTTTTAAAATCTATTTTAGCCTCTAGCAGATGTGGTAATGCATGTAGAGCGAGGATACAGGATGGAGAAACCAGAGGGATGTCCTAATGAGGTATATGAAGTCATGCGCAAAGCATGGGACTTAGACCCGGCCAGGAGGCCCACTTTTGCAGATGTCAAAGTAGAACTAGAAAAATTACGAGCTGTTGCTGTCTAAAACTGACCAGTTTAACCTATATGTCTAAACAATACTTGTATAACCAAATACAGCTGTAGGAAAGGATGCAGAGATAAGAGTGATTAGTATGATGCAAACTGGCACACATATGAACCAAGTCCAATGGAATCACTTTGTGCAGGATGACATGGGATTTTACCAGGAAGTATTAGTATTGTATGTTCAGCTACTTAGAATCACTTTTCTCATGGTCATAGTTTGGTTTGAGGCAGACCAGACTCTTGTCTTATCTGGAATTTCTCCAGATTATTTATACCAGTATGTATGGACCCAAAACTGTCCAAATCCCCTGAAAGGGGATGGTTTTGGGTAATGTGGCCCATTCTTGTTCTCCCCTCCCCCTTCCTTTGGTGGTGGTGGGGATGGGAGGGTCTACAGTATTCAACAGAGATTAAGCTTTTTAGCAGAGAACTTGGCAAATGCAGCCCAGCTAGCAGTGAAAGAACGAAAGACGGCCATAATGTTAATTCCAGTGTCACACCTAACACAGAGCCACCCTTGTCCAAGTGGTTTCACATGTAATACAATCTTCCAGTGAACCACATGGAACAGGTATAGTGGGAAAGGACAAGTGAACACAATTGTAATTAGATTGAATATATTTATAAGGAATTAGAATGTTGGTAAACTGTCATCATACCAAAGTTTTCTGTATTTTTACGAGTGCATTACAACTGGTGCATATTTTAGCATGGGATTTTAATGTGCTCCATTTCATCTTCTATGCATTATGTTTTATTATGTCATATATGTAGGTTTTGTGATACCATAGATAGTAAATCAAATATTAAAGGTCATGGATACTTAGATAAGTTTTACCTCATTTAAACAAACAAAAAACTTTTGAGTGGATATTTTCATATGCAGAAGCCTTGGTCTGTATATTTTCTGAACTCCATTGTCTTTTTATGACAGTAACACACTCATATCTTAATTTGTTGTTTGCAGCATACTCATTTATACAGACAGAAACTGCAAGTTTACCTCAAAATTCATTGAGGTTAACTAAAAAAAAAATTAGTTGCATTCAAAATGAATGAGAATTTAAAAATAGGGCAACTTCACTACTTTTCCAGTACAAAATTGTCCCAAATTCCATTGCTTAACTTTTTTGTCTGTCAGCTGCACTGATATGGAATGGCATACTGTTCTTACTATAAATGATAACAAGTTGGTGATTTTTTACTCATTTTCAAATTTTAGTTACTTTCAACCCTCTGGTAACTTGATTGGCTGTATTGTCTGTATACTTGCCAGCTTTGCTATCTATATAAGAACTTCAAGATTTAATACACATTGCATATTCACAATCCTATGTCACATTTTGCTGTTGCCTCAAAGTGCAGAGAATTTTGACCTTGACCTTGCTGGCAAGTTGTCAGGGACATGGAAGGGTATGCTTTGTCTCCAGACATTCCTGGAAGTTCTCTAGGCTAAATTTATCCCTTTTAAGCATTATGATCATCTGGTTATAAAATGTGTTCCCACCTTGATTTAGAAATATGTATTCTTTGTTGTAACTATTTTCTTTTTCTTATAATAGTAGTAGGTGACAAAGCTTTTGCTTGATCCTTACATTACTTGTAGGTAACAGATAATGCAAATAGATATTAGGTATTTTAATCATATCTCATAAAATAAAATCTCTATTTGATTGTGCTCAATTATGGAAATTAGGCATTACATGGATAAATTCTGAAAAAAGTAGAGCATTGCGATAGAAATTATTTAAGTGCATCTTTTTCAAGAATTGTGTACATAATATTAGCTTTTAGCTAGAACATCGACCATGGCCTTCAAATCCACTAGGGAATTATAGGTTAATTTGTCTTAAGCCAATAAAATTGACCAACACAGTATAAAAACAATTAAATGTATTTCTTAGTTATTCCTTGTTTGATCCAAGCTATTAATTTAATTGAATGATTTTATGATGTTCCATATCTACAAAAAATTGACACTGTGATTATTATCACTTCTGTTGTTTTAAAAACATTCAGATATTTTGCCAAATTTAGAAATAAATTCACATGTATACATAAATAACTACACCAAATTAAAATTTACATTACCATTACCACCACCAGTGTACTGTTACTGATTCAGAAGTAACTGCTAACATTCCAGGTTTTCTATACTTGGCATATATGTATCAGATTGGCCACTTTACCACTATAAAAACTAAAGCAATCTTGTTCCAGTTAAGCATCATCTTTTTACTGCACATGTGTATAGTAATATAAAATATTTCCCAGGTATTAATGCATCTGTAAAAGGACACAGTTTGTGTACTACAGAATGATCTCTACACCATCAACATAATTCGTCTTTGTAGAATTTAGAGGTAGGTAACCCCTGAATGGCATCTAACTTCTAAGAAACATTCTCTTAACCATACTGCAGCCATTATAATAGAAATGATCAAATGCTGACAATTCAGAAAGGTAATATCACAGATAAGAACTGATCATTTCATTCAATACATCACATGCAATGTGACTTACAACTTTATAATCACAGCTGCAGCTTTCCATCTTTGTACAGCCAAATGCAATACAGGAACTTCTCTGCAAATTTTCTTATTTAAGAAATTGTGAGTATGCAGCATTGTGTACTGTGTCAGTGCTAAGGGTCTACAGCCAAATTCCTTTTACTGCCCTTGTGTGATAAAGGCCTAAAATCAAGGCCGAGGTATTCAGGTCTGTGTTATACTTGAACCCGAAAGACTGTCTGTTGTGAAGTAGTGTACCCTGCTCAATTTTAATCTAAACTGAAACAATCAAAACAGTTCTATGAAAGACCAGTCGTCACTCCTCC